TAGCTTCTAGTAGACTAATAGATAGAGAAATTTTATAAGAAGCTACTAGAGACTATACGTACGTAGTTAGATATATACTAACGTTAATATATTAATAACTATAACTACTATATAGATCTTACTTAAGACCTTACTTAAGAGCTTACCTTTAGAGAAGTACGCGTTACTACTAGAAAGGCTAAAAAGTATAACGTAATTATGTTAATACTATAACGCGCGCCTCTAGCTCTTCTAGATTTTTTAGTACCTAATAAAGCTCTAGTAATTTAGAAGCTAGTTACCTATTTTTAATACTACTAACCTAGCTACCTAAGCTATAATTACTCTAGAGCTTCTGCCGCGTAGAAAGCTATTAAGAACGCTGCTCTAGAGAAGCTCTTAGAGCTCTTAGAGCCTATAGAGCTGTAAGTACCTAAGAATAATACGTTAGAATATAAATCTAATAATTTAGAAAAAGCCTAGCTCTAGAAGAAGTCTTCTTTCTAGAGCTACCTACTAGAGTAATAAACCTGCGTAAGAAGCTATTTAGTAGTTCTACGTTTACTCTACTCTACTAAATATCTATAAACAGTCTTATAATTAAGCTTAGAGGCTTAATTAATATAGAAGTAGGCAGCTACGTCTTAGTACACCTAAAGCACCTTTAAACTCTTAGAAAAAACCTCTATATTAAGCTATCGCGTATAGAACTAATCCCTCTTACTAGGTATAATAGATAACCTAATAGCTAGATAGATAAATACTTTAAAGCTAATTTAGTACTAGAAAGCTACTAAATACACACCTACTTTATATATTACAACACTAGCCGCTATAACATAATAATTAGTTATAAGCTACTTAAAGAAGTTAACATTTAGGTTAACTATAAGTAGCGCGTACTAATATAGCTAGACACTAATTAATTAATTAATTATAAACGCGACGCGTTTATCTCTATATAATTCTCTTAATCTACTACTAAAGCTTAAGCAGCTTACTAAGCTAATGCTAATTGCCACGACGCCCTAATATTAGTAGTAGAAAAGCTAAGAGTAATATAATAAGAGAAGAGAGAATTATAACACTAGAAGCTTTAAGAAAACCTGCGTAAGATAGACAGGTAGCTTAAAAATCTTAACCTGCCTGCTAGGTTGCCCTGTAAGCGGAAAAAGCTACCTATTTTATAGAAAACATGCTTAAAGGCTAGACTTAACGTTAATATAATTAGCGTAGCTATCTTTATAATTAACACGCGTTAAAAAGACACTATAATTAGGTATCTTAGTGTCTATAAGGTTAATTAGCTTATTACTAATAGGTAGAAAACCTCTATTGCTAACCTAGAGAAGAAACTCCGCTAACTAGTTACCTAAAAGCTTCTATCTCTAGGATATGCTAGCGTAACTATAGCTTATTTCTTAAAAAAGAATTCTAATACTCTACTACTATATAGAGAGAGTGTAAATTATAATATTAAGCTTATAGTAGAAAATATCTTAATAAATAGTTCTCTTTATAGTATGTTACTAGAGCACCTATAGTTAGTGTAAGATTATCTAGAGAACTACCTTTATTATAGCTTTATTATCTATAGTAATATATTATATACGTTACTAGTTCTATTTACTAAAAAGCTAGGTAGAGAATAGAGGTTCTATATTAACTATTAAAAGCTTAACGCTATTATAAAAAAAGACGCCTATTCTATTTCTTTTATTTAGAAAATACTTACACGCCTGTCGCACGCTAAGGTCTTTACTAAGTTAGACGTAAGGTAAGCTTTCTACTAGATCTAGCTTAATAAGTTAGTAGAGAACCTAACGTCTTTCTACACGCGGTATAGTAACTATAAGTATTAAGTTCTACTCTTTAGCCTCTATAATAGCTCTACTACCTTTTAGTAATATATTAATAAGGTGTTATATAGCTTACTAGACAATTTCTATATAGTATATATTAATAATATTCTTATTTACTTAGAGAATTCGCTTAAGTATAAAGCCTATATTACCTAGGTACTTAATTAATTATATAAAGCTAGGTTGTAAGTAGATATTAAGAAAT